GCTTACTCTGCCGTATGAGTTCACTGGATTTTTTTTCTATAAGAAATAATTTAAAGAAAATTAGTAATCAAATAACTTTGAGAAACGCTGTTCAAATGTATTTTATAACGAACCAGCTAATCTTTGCTGCACGAGGCACTTAAAGAAACTATATGATAATCAACACAGCTGAGAAATATCATCAGAAGAGATTCTGATCATATCTGATTCTTCCAGACAAACCAAAAGAGCTTTTTAATCCATTCAAATGTATATAGGGTGGGTGTGTAGCAGGAGTGCTACTCGATAATATTTATTGCCCTTTATAATTTGCAGTAGGCCAGAGTGGCATGCTTTGGTCCGGTTGTTGCTGTTGTTGTTGTTGTTGTTGTTGTTGTTGTTGTTGTTGTTGTTGTTGTTGGGCTTAACGCCATTTTTCAACACACGATATACATGGCGGCCAGTATTGATGGTGGAGGAAGAAACCGGGAAGTCACGGAAAGAACCACCGACCCACAAGAAGGTACTGGCAAGCTTTCTCACTTATCCACATTCGCCAAATCCTTAACTCGAACCCACGCAGACAGAGGTGAGATGGCAGTGATCCGTAACGGACAGCGCTTTAGACCACTAGGCCACTCGGGGCCCCGCTTTGGTCCGGAGGCACTAAAGGAAACCTATCTAACTTTCTTAATATGTTACATGGAGATATCGTTTTTGATTAAGTTTAGTAACAACTGTGTTTGACAGATGTGAAATGGACATATTCATTATGGCTAGCTTTAGAAACAGACCAATGCGTACAGTGCACAGTCAAAACTTTAGAAACCTAATGTTTTGCCTCGAACAGAGTAAACAAGAAATGTTACTGTCAGACCGAATTGTAGGGTATATACTCCTTTCGTCTTTATGTTATAAAAAAGTAATGATTTTATAGAATGCATGTTCACATCAAGTGCCGTGTTTTGCGTTTCATTATTTCTTCATTTGTTGTATGTTCTTCGAGTATTTATAATATGTTAGATTTCAATTCATTGAGTGAAAACTTTGTGAATCATTAAGTAATGGCGTCAAATCTTAACAGATATAGATATTGAAGGCTCAGTTTGCAGATGATATTGTTACGGATATCTGTATTATATATTTAGTTATAATACAGTTTTCAAAATTCATGCTTGTTTATGACATTTATATCTTAATAGTTCATAGATGACGTGGAAGGTTGAAGCCAGGATGGCAGACAGATGCTGCAGCTACGAGGTAGTGGTTTACAACATACACTGAAGACCACTCGAAACTCCATGCCGTAATAGCTGTCGTATCCTCCTCCGGTAACGAACCAACCCAGATTGGACGTCTCGAAGTCAAGCGGACTGCCGCATGTGAGCTGTTGTACATGTACAGTGGAAGTTTCTCACTGACATACACCTTAGTCGAACTTTTATTGGTTGCTTTCTGGCGATGCAGATGTGGAAGAGGAACATTGCTGAGTACCGAAAGCTATGGCAAAGCGGTATGACGTAGTGTTCCAAAGATTATGCGCATTGATGTGTTGAGCTAGACATCAATTAACTTGGTGTGGGATGATCGAGCCCAGACAGGAGCACAATACTCGGTTATCAAATAACAGGGCCATTTCTTATGTCTTGAGTGTTTGTGTACTAACACCCCTAAGTTTAGACATCAGTTTGCGGAGTAGGTTGTTTCCAGTGCTAAGTGTTCTGCAGTTTTCTTCCGGTGGTTGTAGAATGTCAGTGATCTGTCCAGAGTCACACCAAGGTATGTAGGCGTCGGGTCGTGTTTTATTTGCGTTGTTAAGGTGGAATACACTGGAGACTGTCTTTGTTGCACTTAGCTGTATACGACATTTCTTGAAGATGCCCCTCATTGTTCAAAGCCTCATCAAGCTTAGTAAACGAGCGACTTTGGGTCCAGAAAGCAATGTCATCTGCATACATGAACTTGCGCGACTGTGTTATAGGTAGGTCATTAAGATAAACATTGAACAAACTTGGCGAAAGAACAGACCCTTATGGAAGTACATTAGTCTGACTCTTCCACGAGCTACAGCTCTCTCAGAAGTGCCCTCTGAAGCGCCTTTCGCGAAGTAACATGTCTAGATTCTCAACTATTAAACACGGTAATACTCTGGAAATGTTTGATAACAGCCCTGCATGCCAGACTGCATGCCGCTGTTAAATCAAAGAAACAACTTCAGTTTTAAGGTTTCTCCAAAAACCGTTTTCAACAAACGTAGTAAGGAGAAGGACTTTGTCGCAAGTGCTACGTCCATGCCTGAAGCATGCCCGCGCAACAGTTATGATATTCTCCAAGTCTAGACCAAATCTTTGGAGAATCAGGTGCTCTATTTACTCGTAGCATTGTGGGAACCTTTACCAGGCTTTGGGATCGCAATAATTTTTGCCTGGCTGCACAAAGTCGGCATGCACTTTTCTCTAGCAACCCAGGAGTAAAAAGCGGGGATCCATTGGGCTAAGATGTTCCAAGAACCCCAGACAGGATATTGTTTTGCCTAATTTAATCCTTCATAGTACAGTTTCGGGTTGTGCTGTTGTGAATACCTCTGGTGTCTTTCGATCTAGTTCATCAGACTACCGACGGCAGTATTGTCGCCACTCCTCTCGTACTTGACGTCGGAGCTGCTTCTCCAGGGGTTTGCAATTTGTAGTAAGTGACTATCTACAGCATTTGGTTTGACAACATGGCGAGCTTGAACTGGTGGTTGCTGAGGGGTGCCAAGTCTTCGAATCAAGCACCAGCATTTTTGTCTGGAGCGTGTGAAGTTGAGTGATCTTATAGTTTCCTCCCAGCGAGTGCTCCTGGCAGTGTCCATGGCATACGATCAGGTGATCTGCTATTTTTGGGTATATTACTTCATACTGCTTGAGAAGAGCCTGATATTCTGAATCCAAACAGGGCGTATAGACTGAACGACGGACACGTTGGAGAAATTGGGTGGCTGAGTTAAATATGGCTTCTTTGTGTTAGGATTCCTTGATTGAGATGCAGCAAGATGGAATGGTGAATATGCTACGCTCCAGTATATCAGTGTACTTTGTCCAATCTGCTTTGCGGAAGTTCCAACTTCGCTGTGAAATGTTGTGTATAGCCGGCAACTGAAGTCCAGTATGGATAAATATTGATCTGTTCTGACAGTGTGGGAAGTCGTCTGGAACAATTTGGCTTACTGGCTGAGGATGGAGCTAACCCAGCAGAGTTCCGGTAGATAATCCTTTTGCCATCTTGCATGATAAAAGGTCACGCATTGCTTGGAGTCGTGGGTCAGATATAAGTAATTGCTCACTGCCCACTCTACCAAGTGTTCCTCGTCTTCATCGGGGTTTGAGTAGCCCCTCGCAGGGTGATGACTACTGCTGAAGTCGCCAATGTAGACAACTGGGTGTTCGAAAGTTGGAATCATATTGTTGTCTCAGTGGGCTCTATGTGGTTGGTAGACATTTACGATCTTGTACCCTCCAACCTGGACCACATTGCAGAATCTTGTAGATGAAACTGAAGAGACATCAGTAACGTCACAGCGTCGTATACGAAGCACGGCCGAATTAGGAGTCTGGTATTGATGAAATGAGGTCAAAGTCGCCAGTGGTGTGTCGTCCTGCTACCTGGTCTGCTACACGAGTCTCCTGCAGACTGATTATGTCGACATTGTTACGGTGGGCTGAAGTGCTGCTGATGGTTCGTTTGGCTGCTGATAGACTCTCGACGTTAAGTTTTAAAACTTGTAGAGCCGATTCAGCTGCTGTTCGTAGTAGCACGTAACCGAAAGTCATTGCAGAATTTGGTTTGCAAGTTGGTTCTTTATTTCCACAACCACGGGCTGAGCTTGGCTGAGTACTGACGGGGAGAGCGACGGACAAAACTAGGTCAAGTTGCACATCTAGCCCGAGGGCCGTATTTCCCCTCTCTCCACTCGAGTAGAACGATTCACATTGGAATGTACAGTATTAGATTAACACTTCATATGACTTAATACCATGTCATATTACGTCGACGCGTGGCAATAGTTTCCGCAGGTATGATGGTAGCCTGGTATGGTAGTCCAGAATCGAGTGGAAATCAGTGCTGTCCTCTAAAACAAATCTCTTTGGTTCTAGTAGCAACTCAAAACTGGAGATTTATTTAGGTTTCGCTTGGATTCTGTCAGCCAGACGTTAGAGACGAAATTAAAGACGAATTTGACTTGGAATGAATAGGCTATATTATACCAGAAGCCAAATAGGCAAATTTATAAAACATTTAGTCCGATGAGTACAGCATTTTCGTGGGTCTTTAATAATAATAATAATAATAATAATAATAATAATAATAATAATAATAATAATAATAATAATAATAATAATAATAATAATAAGAAGAAGAAGAAGAAGAAGAAGAAGAAGAAGAAGAAGAAGAAGAAATAAATAAAACAAAAAAGAACTACTATCCATGCTTGCATGATAGTACCCTGTTACAAGCCACAAAAGATTAAAAAAATGAAACATAAACAAGAAAAAAGAACTCTTGCACCGATGCATAGCAAGCGTTGGGGAAAACACTTTTTCTCGACAGCTGATACTTTATTTGCCTTTAGTACTTTTTCTACAAGAAACCTTTATATAAGTAAGGATTTTATCAGGTTGTTTTCAAAATCCCTGTCTGAACATCTGTTCCCCTATCTGTACAAACGTTTACCGATGCGTCCATCCATCATGTCTCCTTTTGTTGCAACATTTTTCAGAACGATACAGAATTTGGTTTGATTATGTGATGTGATGTGATTATGATTTTCAACGTAGCTATAACAATTTTTCAGTTATATCGCTACGATGTCTGCAGTGTAGTAGTTTGTAGTGATGTCTAGTACTGGAGCATCATACCGCAGACATGAACATGATGTCCCACCCAGTCACATCATCCTGACACCAGGCTGACCAGTCCTAACACTAACCTCTTAATGCTGAGCGTCACGCCAGGCAGCTGTTAGTACCATTTTTGTAACT